GTTTAGAAACCCTATTATCACGTCAAAATCGTATTTGATGTTAGCCCAGATATGATCCACAAATAAATACTCCCAAATTACTATGAACACGTCACAAATACAAGATCAGCAGTCCTTTAAATATATATTAAATCTTAATAAAATAGTGTTGCAGTTAAAAATTTGTGCCAAGCGTCATATTGTTTATCTTTGTGACGTATCATAGGTCACGGACGCCAAAAACCAGTCTTTTTAAAAAGAAATATATATCGGATTTATTATAAAATCCTTGTATTTAAAAAGAGAGACGCCAGCCTCGCTGACGTTACAAATGTCACTTCTAGTACGTTCCATGATATTTTAAATGAAACTTCAATTGTTCTAAGTTCCCTTGTATTTCTCGAAAGTTCTTCATAATCACAATATTCAGAGGTCCACACTAACAGAACTCTCAACTCTGCCGTCGTGCGTCCAGACGTCATATTTATACCAACATTCAAACATAGTTCTATTTTCCTTTAAAACAATCTTTGATTTCGTTTTACTTTTATCAATAATCATGAATACTAACGAGTTTTAATGAGAATTGATGACAAATTATTTTCATGTCGCATCCGTTATTAAAGCTGATAGCGCCGATATATACAATAACATTTATTTTACTTGTACTACTGAGATGTAGGACTTTCGTGAGTATTCTTTTATATAAAACTAATATTTTCAGATTACTACGCGTTTTTAAGAATAATCAATTACACGTTGTGATCCAAAAATATTAGTTTCCTTTACTTATAGTATATATAGGTATATAAAATATATATTAGTTTCCTTTACTATATAGTGTGGTATAAACCACACTACATAATTAAAATATAGGTATATAAAATAGTTGTATGTAGTATGAAGCCACGTGTCCCAGGCTGTCGAAATCGCTCACCGTCAATTAACACACCCAATAAATAAGAATGTAATCAAAAAATTTAAAGTTTAGTCAAAATTTGTGCTGAAACAACCCTGTTTCCATTTATTCTCACAAGCTTTCAAAATCAATATATTTTTTAACTTTAATAATAACTTATATTACAATGTTTTTTGCTTTATTGCATCATAATAGCAAAAATTTTACAAACTTATCTTGTTTACAATTTTTTTATTTTATGGAAAGCTTAATAAAAGTGTCTTTATGTTTGGAACGAATTTTTATACTCCTTTTTTAGTTATCTCTCCGGATTAATAAATTCAAGATTAAAATTATTTAAGTCCATAGTTTGAAGCTAATTGTGGTAGAGCTTGAGTGAAGTTTTTTGTTGGCAACTTCTTTTTATTCAATCTATTTTTTATAATCTAGCCGGATTAATTTATATTGATATCCATATCCCAAAACGTAATTTTCCTTATCAATCATCCTCATGATTATGGTCTAGTCATTGGATTTGTTTGTAGAACTGGAAAATGATTTTTAAAAACATGATTTCTTAAATCGATTTTAAATCAGTGAAGAATGTTATTTGATAATATAAAACAATAACATAAATTTTTCAAATTCATATTCAAAGTCAACTTTATTAATTTTTAAAAATCTTTATCTCGTTTCGTTATTCTGTAAGATATTGGGACAGCGCTGTGTATTAATAAAACTTGGAAGATATTTGGAAAATACTTTTAATAAAACATTTTTAAGCATCTTCTTCTTCTACCTGGCAATTTCCCAGATTTGGCCAGGGTCGGCCTTACATGTTGTGAATAGTTTTGGCTAATTGTTTTTACGACCGGCCACCTGCCTGACATCAACCCTCTTTGGTAATGCACTAATCAGTGATGTCTAAATATTCTTAGAAAGTACATATGTATACATAATATTATGACTCGGAAAAATCACATTGGTACTTGCCAGGGTCAGGGTCGAACCCGCGCCCTCATGCGTGAGAGGCAGGCCTTTTAACCACTGGGCCACCACCGACTATACATATATATAATAAAACATCTTTAAGCATATCTTAAAAGTAATATATTTATGTGAGTCGTTTAATGCTTATATCATTTTATTAACAAATTCACTACATGTATTTTATATTAAGTAAAGCTCATATTTTTTTCTTTAAATACATAGATTTTTTTATCGTATTCAAATAAGCTTTAAATGTACAATTTACTCTTAATGCTTATCCATTCACAAGTGAATATTGTCGGTATTTGAAGATTCGAACTCGATCTTAAATAAATAGTAATTCTTGTTTTACGGTTTATTTCATATACATCGTTCAGGAATGTTCAAAAACTTTCATATATAGAAATTCCATTTACAGCTACCTATTACTCCCGAGTGACCACTAGAGCCTCGACAAGTAAAGTAAATAATAAATAAAGACAATTTCAACAAATATCATATCACATTTTTATGTAATACTTGAACTAATAATAACTTTAATGAAAATCATAACAAATAATAATATAAAATAAAAATTATATATACATATTATAACAGAAAGAATTTAAAAGATGATTCTCAAAATTATATAAAAACGTACTTTATTTAATGCTGTTTCTTAACAATATTGTTTGATAATTAAGACAAAAACTCCCAGTTACTGAAATACTACTATTAATGATACTTTCGTAACTTTTAAAGGATCTCTCCTTTATATATTTTCAAATAGAGATGGATTTATTCTTTATACATATTCGGTTTAATATTGAAGTAGATTCGATTTTAAGAAACATACATTGGAACTTGCTTTCAAAGAGTGAAAGACATTTATTAAGTAATATCATGAACCTGAGGGAGACGATAAACTATACGAATAAGATATTTCTTAGAAATCTAAAAACCACTTATATCCGCCTGTGTGATGCAGTTTTAATAAAACAATAAGTACAAATAAAAGAATGTTAAGACAGTTTCATCTGGCCTTATAGTGTAAATATTAGTCAGCAATATATGAATTGTTAGAAATAATTTAAGCAGTACTTCCACTTAGATGTTTATCGATAACTCGTAACTGAATCCTCAGTCCAGCACTTCCAAAAAGACAATATCATACAGAGGGCGCTAGTTAACTATCATAAGAATTCCCATTTAATATGATAATATAAATAACGTTAAACTTAGAATTATGAAGTGCGTCACAATTTAAATTATTATATATAAATATTACTAACACTAGGTATATATTAGCTAATGGACCAAAAAAACTGGTTTAGTTACATCAAATACATTTTGTGTCGTCAATAGTTAAGAAACTTTTTCAATTGTAGTAATGAATTTTGATGCTTTGGAAAGAAGGTACTTCCTAGTTTAACAAACCCAGTACCCAGATTTAATATGGTCGATATTACAATATTACCATTTATCACTGAATGGAAATCGGTCAGTACTAGTGTTATAATTTTAAGTCGTTAGTGAGATTTAAAAAATCACAAATTGAACAATTTTTCATGCTAAGCAGAGGAATCCATTTTGAATGAATTATACTCTTAAATAATATTTCAAGATTTGAATGCATTTATCAACTCGTCTTGTTATCTCAGCTACTTCTTGTCGACGAGATTTATATTCCTTTTAAAGAAAACCGTCTTTGAATTTATTTGTTAACCAAATTTTCAAATCCTTTTAAGTTTTCGCAATAAGATAACATTTGATGATGATTTGACTAAAAATATACTAATTTTTCTCAAAGAATATGCACATATCAAATTGTAATTTTTAAGATATTGTGTAAAAAACGAGCAGATGAACTATCGTCATAATAAAATGGTTTGATTGAATTCATATAAAGTATTTTTGTCTTATAAAATAAAAACAATTAGTTGCTACTAATTATTATTATTATTGAATTACTTTTATCATAAAAAAGGAGTTGAATTTTTGTTTAACTTAGATAATAGTTTTAGTATTAATTTAAAAATTGCACCAAAATTAGAATGAAAATTATGAGATTCATTTTCACCTAATATTTTTAGTGTAGTGAATTATTGCATTCTATGAGAGTATATGCAATGCTTACCCTATTTATGTTTATCCTTACTACAAAACAAATTATTGTGATATTTCAGAGATTCGAATTCTGCTCTTGCTGATGAACTTCCATTCCACATCTCTCATTTGAATTTGAATTAAAGTACAATAGAAGTCTGATATTTATTAATTTCATGATTACTTTACAAGTAGTGACGATATAGTATACATATATTACAAGAAATAGAATTGTATTAAAAAAAACATTAATCTAAATTATTTGTTATTTATATGCTCACAAATTTATCATATTCAAGATATTAAATCAACTTCAAAGCATATTCATTCCGTGACATTGTTAGTTCTGTACACATGCGATGTCATCGCTGCCTAAATTATTGCCGAATCCGTGATTGTAAAACCGACAATTTCCTTCTACCTGCATTATCTTCATCGCAATGCAGTACATATATTTAGGTCGACTTTTAATACTTTCGAATAATGTTTTAAGAAAATATTAATTAAATTAAAATTATTTTTATACTATTATATGTAATATTTATATAGTAAAAGATTTTTTTCACAAATGGAAAGTAAACATTTCAAGAAACAAAAAGCATACTAACTTTTAGAAAGAAGCTGATATTTTGTTGGGTTAAATTTCAATTAAAAATAAGAATGCTTTAAAAATAAATGGTAGTATATTTGCGACATACAACGGTAGTTTTTCAACTTTGTGAATAAAATATCTTTTTAATATTTTTTATTTAACTATTTGACTTTTTTCTGTCGGACTTTTAATTTTGCCGGAAATTGATATAAGCCGTTTATTTATTTATTTATTTATTTATTTATTTATTTATTTACTCTTTAATGTACACCAATATAGACAGAAATAACAAGAGAAAAACAAAGAAAGGAAAAAGTATCATTCCGTCTCGGTCACTCTTGACGGCCGGTCGCGCGCATTGTGCTTACAGTTGATTACGTTTACCGACCGGTATATACAGAGTAGTGACTACACAGAGATATAGAGATATTGCAACACTTTTAATTATACACGGATATGTCTTCGCCTACACATTCCAACGATGCTCAAGACATAAGTTTTACATCACTTACCGATGGATCACCCGTAAATTGCGTGACAACTAGAAGAACTCGTGTTGACACGGAAGGTGGTCTTAATCCATTGTTAAAGGAACTACGTGAGTTCAAGGAGTCAATGGTTAACAAAATGGACAAATGGTTCGCCAGACAGGAAAATATGATATCCAAGGTTGTAAAGGAATTCAACGAAGTTAAGCAAACAATGAATCAAATGTCAAATTATTTTGACGAACTAAACAACAAGACCACGGAATGTCTCAACCGTCTAGCTGAAACAGAAAAGAAGGTAAAAAGTCTAGAAGAACACACTAAAACAATAACTCAATTGGAAGCGAAAATTGAATCAATGGAGCAACATTCACGTCAGTGCAATGTAGAAATTCAGAACGTACCTGAGAGACGTAACGAAAATCTAATAAAAATAGTTGAACACATCGGAACGTCTATTAAGCAAAGCATAAGTCCGAATGATATAGTATCTGTACACCGAGTGCCTCATGCCGATACAAAGAGCACACATCCTAAAAGTATTGTCGTAAAATTATGTTCCCGGATTCTGCGTGACAATATACTGTCTGCTGCTCGAATGAAGAAAGGTTTATACACAGATGACTTGCATATTAATGGTGAAAATCGCAGAATTTACGTAAATGAACATCTTACATTACGAAACAAACAACTTTTTAGAAGTGCTCGTGAAACTGCTAAAAGGTGTAATTTTCGCTTTACTTGGATTAAGCATGGTAACATTCTTGTGCGCGAGTGCGAAACATCCCGAGTTATTGCTATCCGTTCGTATGAAGACTTGTCTAAAATTAAATCTTCTAAGTCCTCCTAGTAGGTTAAATAAAAAAACACATCACGTATTAGTTGTTACTGTTATACTACTCATTAAAAAATATTATTGCTTGCCACTATGTTTACACGAATTGCTCTGTCCTGTTAATTACTCTGTGCAAATGTTTTTAAATTACCTTACATTTTTATTGGTATTGTGTTTATTAAATAAGTATTTACATATAGTTTTACTCCATATTATCAAATATTTATTCGTAATTTATCATTTATCTATAATATTATTATATAACACTTATATAAAGTATGATATTTATATTTACTATACACTATATTTTGTACTTCACAATAAAGTCTATAGTGGTTACGTAATGAAACGATTGATTTCTCGATGCGGGAATAACAAATTCATATTTAATTTACTGATTAATTCAAATAAGTTATATTCTTATACTATAACTTCGTTTTACTATTATTATTGTTTAATAACAATGATTTACCAAGCTTCCAAAGATACGTTATCTTTTTACACAAACACGTTAAATTGCAAAATAACGTATCTAGTATTTTTTGATGTTTACAATGTTCTTAAAATATATTCACCCATAATACGATATATCTTAAACATAATATGTGAATATAATACCAACATCTTATACACAATATGCAATATTATTCGAATTCACGGGTAATTTATCATTTTATTATCAAAATTGTGGTGGAATAAGAACCAAACTAAATACCATTTATATGAACATCTTAACTTATTCTTATGATATTATCGTATTAACCGAAACATGGTTAATTCCTAGTATTTCAGATAGTGAATTTATAGACAGTAGGTATATTGTATTTCGATGCGACCGGGACCGTGCCGCCACAGGTAGGGAGGAGGGCGGCGGCGTGTTAGTGGCCGTGCGCCGCGAGCTGCGGCCCGTGCGCCGCGCGCTGCCGGGGCCCGTGCCTCCTATTGTCGATTGCGTCTCTGTTGAGGTACCGAGCGCGTCCCGAGGTAAGAAATGCATTGTGAACGCAGTATACATACCATCTAATCAATGTTCGAATACTTACGTCGTATATCTCGACTTAGTTTGCGACACAGTGTTGTGTGATAATGTAACTGAGCATTTTCTAATAGGAGATTTTAATCTACCTAGCCTTGAGTGGGGAGTAAATAATGGTCTTTGTTTACCTTCTATAAGAAATGATACTGTATATGCTGGTAAATATCTTGTGCAAATCCTCTCTTTACTGAATGCCACTCAACATAACATTTACAAAAATAATTTAAAACGTACTTTGGATTTGTTCATATCGAACACTGATTGTACTTGTCTGACGCCTACATCGCCTCTGTCTCCACTGGTGCAGCACCATCCATATTTCTATATTCTCAGCAAAATAACTACGGCACTTATATCTATTCCAAGACAACCACGAATCAAATTGTGTTTTGCAAAAGCTGACTACATAAATATTAATGAAGCTATTAATAAAGCAAATTGGTCTGACATTTTAATTGGTTCTATTAACGAAATTATAAATATATTTTATGAAAAACTATTCTCAATTATAAAGTTGTTTACACCGGTCAGCGTAATAAAAAACAGTAATTCTCCATGTTGGTTTACCCCAAGTCTTCGACGGATATTTAAGGCTAAAGATAAAGCGTGGGTAAAGTGGAAAAAGTATAAAAATACTGCTGATTATGAACTCTTCTCCATGTATCGAAGCAGACTTGATACGGAAAGTAAGAGGTGCTTTGACAATTACATATCATTTACGGAACAAAGTTTAATTAAAAATATAAAATCCTTTTGGAATTACATGTCTAGTCTTAAAATCAAACCGGGAATACCGACAACAATGACCTATATGGGTAATTCATCAAGCGACCCTGAAATGATATGTAAAATGTTCGCGCATTTCTTTCAATCTGTATATGAGCCATCTACACTTAATATAGAAACATGGGAGTCATCAGTAGGTGATACCAACTCTAGTAACAACAATATATGCTCTTTATATTTTTCTGAAAACGATGTCTACAGGGTGTTAAGGGCACTAGACTCAAATAAAGGCGCTGGACCTGACTCCTTACCGCCTTTGTTCATAAAGCTTACCGCGGATACACTATGCATTCCACTTACAATTATCTATAACAAGTGTATGCAAGAAGGTATTTTTCCTGATTTATGGAAGATGGCGCATATAACACCCGTTTTCAAGAGTGGAGACAGAGACAATATTGAAAATTATCGACCGATATCGATTTTGTCCACGCTAGCGAAAGTCTTCGAACGATTAGTACACGCCCAATTGTACCCTCTTGTGCATAATGATATCTTACAGGAGCAGCATGGATTTGTACAACAGAAATCTACTACTACTAATTTATTGTTATATGCTACTTACTTGTTTGAGAATATGGACAACAGGGTGCAGGTGGATGCTGTGTACACGGATTTTCGCAAAGCATTTGACAAAGTTGACCATGAAATCCTTTTAAAGAAATTGGCCTTCAACGGCGTGAGAGGTAATTTATTGAGGTGGTTTGCTTCGTACATTATCAACAGGTCTCAGAGAGTCGTAGTTAGAGGCTTTGAGTCTGATACTTTTATTACATCCTCCGGCGTGCCACAGGGATCTATACTTGGGCCATTGCTTTTTACAATCTTTATAAATGACATAAACCAATGCTTCAAACATTGCAAGTTCCTGTTGTACGCGGATGATCTTAAATTATACTTAAGTGTGCGGGATTTGTCGGACTGCCATGATTTACAAAGCGATCTTAACAGGCTTAGCGAATATTGTGTTCTGAATAAATTACGTCTCAACTTGACCAAATGTAACACTATAACAATAACTAAAAATAAAAATATAGTTAAGCAAGAATACTGTCTCAATGGGACTCAATTAAATAGAGTAAATCATGTACGTGACCTTGGTATCATTATAGATTCGCACCTTCATTTCGATAAGCATGTTGACAATATTGTTAATAACGCATTTAAAATGTACGGATTTGTGATGAGATCAACTAAGGATTTTAAAAAGCCGTCTACGCTCATATATCTGTATTCCAGTTTAATCAGACCACAACTTGAATATGCATTACAAATCTGGAACCCCATTTACAATAAATATGTTGATCAGATAGAAAATGTGCAACGTCGGTATTTGCGTTCATTACATTACAAATTCACACATTCCTATCTGTCATATTCTGAGTTGCTTGTTAGATATAAATTGGGGAGTCTCGCATCGAGAAGAAAACTGTTGAGTGCAATATCCTTATACAATATCTGCAACTCTAATCTAAACTGTCCTCAATTATTAAGCCACATATATTTCTTAGTACCCAATCGAGTTTCATTACGTAACACACGAACACCTAAATTATTCAAACTGAAAAAATGTCAAACTAATGCTGGCAAGCGAGCACCATTGTACCAAATGACCCAAACGTACAATGCTGAACTTTATAATGTTGACATTTTTGGGTCAACAATAGGTGCATATAAAAGAAAAATTAAAGCCATTACTGAAAAAGCAAACAATAATATTAGTTAACAGTATGTAATAATAAATTCAAATTATATATTTATTATGTGAGTAGGTGTGTAATTATGTATGTGTATTTATATTTCTTATATATATATATATATATATATATTTAATATTGTTATTATTATTTTTTTTTTAATTATTCATTGTAATATCTCTTTTATTTCTTTTTCTTTTTTATGTAATTAGTGGATAACGGTGTGGTTTGTGCATTTATTAAGGTTATAAAATTGTATAATATATATTTTCATAGATGTACAAATGTTTGTGGTCCCAAATAAATTAAAAAAAAAAAAAAAAAAAAAAAAAAGTACAAATAGGCGGCCTTATCGCTAAAACAGCGATCTCTTCCAGGCAACCGTTTTGTACACTTAAAAAATCACCCCCATCCCCCTCCCAACTAAATTATTTTTATTTTCAGTGTCACAATATTTTTCTCCTTTTTTGCTTTTAATCTTACTTTTATTTTTTTATCTTTTCACTTACTCCTTCTTCTTCTACCTGGCAATTTCCCAGCTACAGCCAGGGTCTGCCTTACATGTTGTGAATAGTTTTGGCTATTTGTTTTTGCGACCGGCCGCCTGCCTGACATCAAAACCCTCTTTTAGGAATCAACATTAATCAGTGATGTCTAAATCCTCTTAGAAAGTACATATGATTCGGAAAAATCACATTGGTACTTGCCCGGGCCAGGATCGAACCCGCGCCCTCTGCAACGAGAGGCGGGCCCTTTAACCACTGGGCCACCACTGACACTTTTTATCTTTTCACTTACTATTATTTTTAAAAGCTTCTAAGCCTAGTGTTTAAATAAAACATGAGATATACTTTCGTAAAAATATATCTGATCGCTTAATTTCACAGTGCTTCATAGTCGTTAATGAAAGTGGCCACAGAACAATATATTGTTGGGACATGCGGTTATATTTATGCTATAGGATTATAAACTAAGTAGCATAAATTTTAATTCATTTTCGATTTGACAAACTGTAAAAAAATATTAAAAAAATTACTTTTAAATAAATAAAAATTCATTCACTTTATATAATTTAAAAAAAAAAATTAAACAAGAAGTTAGTTTTCTAAACTATATAACTTGTGGATCCTTGTTGGCTTTTTCTATTTAAATTTGTTTCTTTTTATTTACCACTACTTTGTGCATAGTCATATTTTTAATGACTCTAGGGAAATTGTAAATTATTATCCAAATAGAGAAGTTTTCGAGGTTGGTTACAAACTTGACGAGTACACAATATTAAATAAATTGAAATACTGAGTACGTCGTTATTCTTGGAATAATCTTGCCAGTTTGCGAACATGACATCTGATGTGAGTGTAAGTAATGGCACAGTTTTATTTAATGTATCTTTGTTTCAATATAAAATATTGCTGAAATTCATCCACACATAATATAAATAATAGTAATAAAGATACATTTCCGTTCAGTAAAGATGTTAAAATGTAAATTTTCCTTTAAGTTTAAAATCTAAATACAAGAAAGTACTGGAAACTATAAGACCAGTTGGCTTTGTGTGGAAAAAACTTTGTATTACCGGAGATAAGTTTGAGATATGTCGAAAACTTTGCTTTAGTAACATATTAAAATGAATTTCAACGTCAAACTTATGAACAAAATACTTGTGTATTAAATCTAATTTTAAATAATTTTAAATGTAAAATACAAAACTACAATCAGTTATAAGAAATTATTTACCCCAAAATTGTAATGCTATTATTGGTGATTTTTACGAGATTTGTCTTATATAAACATACATACACTCATTATTATTATGAACACCTTAACACGGACATAAACTATTATTCTAATGAAATAAAAAAAACATTGTGTTTTACGTAATAATTACTATTGAAATTTACACCAAATGTCTTAACATTGCAATGAGTTATGATTTCGTCAGGACATTACTTTTGACGTATGAAACCTTAGCTTTGTGTTCCAAAAGATTAGAGTTGTATCATACATTTGTATGAGTTTTGTTCGCGTTGATATATAATTTATATATAATACATATATATATATATATATATATATATATATATATATATATATATATATATATATATATAAAGAAATAATCATCAGTCAGTGGTGGCTCAGTGGTTAAAGGGCCCGCCTCTCGTTGCCGAGGGCGCGGGTTCGATCCTGGCCCGGGCAAGTACCAATGTGATTTTGATTTTGAGGGTTGATGTCAGGCAGGCGGCCGGTCGTAAAAACAAATAGCCAAAACCATTCACAACATGTTAGGCCATAGCTGGGAAAAATTGCCAGGTAGAAGAAGATATAAAAAATAATCATATATTTTGTATATTTGTAAACAGAAATGTATGAAATACAGTGACATTAAGACCGTATACCTTTAATACAAATCTTGAGATCTACTTATACTATACATATTTTTAAACTACGATTTTGTAAAGCTTCCTCTTCCTTAATTTTCCTAAATATCATGATAAAAAGCAAACATGTTTTGAATTGTTTATCAAAGCTAATAATAAAGTTTTATTTATTGTAACTGAACGTGTATTAAAAATCTACGATAATAAATACATTTTTTAATGATCTTTCTTATACGTAAAGTAGGCACCTAAACTTTTAATTTATTCTCTAATCTCACTAACTATATATCTATTCACATTCTTCATATTGATTCTCAATGTTTCTTCCGTGATCAGATCAGAACGTGTCGTCATATCTAATACTACCGTAGATATACTAAAGTGCTACCACTAACAAACGTTTGAGTAAATTGAAAATAAACATTTACAATCAGCCTTTATATTCGCAAATACTCTTAGTTCATTTAAGATTTTTAGAGAAATTCTAAATGAACTTCGTTATATTCAAATATTTAGATTTTTATTGTGTTTTTTAAATGAATTATTTTTAAATTACAATAGGAAATGGCGTAAATTGAACTATGATTAAATGATAAAATTAATAAATTTTGTTTAAAATTCATTTTTACTGTAAATACATACATAAAATATTTAGGTACCTATACCTATTATACGGCTTTAATGAAACATAGTTTGAGAAATTTAATAATATACAAACACATTATACGTCTTGATAACATAAAAATCAAAGAAGGGTATATTCACACTTTGAATAGAATCTATCAAACAATCTATCAACTTACAAAAAGGTGGATATATTCCAAAGTGTTAGAGCCCAGCTGGTACGTATAATATATTTTATTTATAACGATTTATTAGTTATGATTGTACTATATCATAGCTTTTAGACATACAATATTTATATCTTGTTATATAACAAATAATTATAAAGTGATTATTTTTATGAATTGTATGTTTATTTAACATTCATGAACTTGCATTTGACTTTTAGATTGAAGTACTCGAAAATATAACAAATAGTATTCTGACACAGCTCGAGGTTGTTAGCAGAAAGACAGGTTAATGTCAAAACTATCATGAGAAGCAGTGGCGGCTGTAGCTTAAGTGCACTCGTGCGCTGAACCACCAATTCAAAAGATTTAAAAAATTACAAAATATTACTTCATCTTTATTTTTAAATTACCATTTTAATATTTTTTAAACATATAAAAACGTGTAAAAAATTAAGTTTTCTAATTATAGTCAAAAAGTTTGTGCGCTTTACTAAACTAATATCTCGTGCGCTTCGGCGAGTGCACGAGGACTGTTAATACATCTTGTATGAGATACGCATTAATACGCCTGACGCGTGAAACAAAAGATAGTTCATAGAAATGTACCGAGTAATCAGTCGGTTCTCGAGCGTCGCACGAGCGGCCGAAGATTACCGAGAGCACCCGATGTATGACGAATTGAGCCATGATTGACATCTCGTTATGTTTTGTTGCATTTTCTAATTTCAATATTTTAGTAAAGTGCACCACCGGTTTTATAACCCACCAGCCACAACTGATGGGAAGTCTTTATAATTTACAGAATAGATTGATTAAAATGATTTAGTAAACACTTTAAACATTTTCAAATGCAGTTTTCGTTGAAATGTTGCATACAATAAATGATAACTCATAGTTATGTCAAACATATTCCATCTCTTTCTAATGTATCTATCTGTTTCACTCACACCGGATATTATACTGCTCCCTGTATCCGTCTAGTTGGTACTTAGTTTAGAACAATACTATTTCAATATAAATATGTTAGTGTAAGGTCGTACCACATGTATTTCTAACTTTGTAAAGTGTCACTAATATTACGGAGCTAAAAGATAAAAGATTCTTTTAGAAAAAAGAATAGATTAGATATTATATATTCCTCAGAATTCACAGATCAGGATTCCTCTTTAATGAATTCGTGTATAAATAATGAATAAAGTATTGAAGACTTTTTTCTTAAACCATTAATTGCTAAACAAGAAAAGTATGTCCACGTAATAAATATATAAATGTCTATTTAATGAGCGAAGTATATATAAAGAGTCTAACAAAGACAAATTACAAAGAATTAAGTGTAAAACTATCGAGTGTGAGCGCAATTTAATTCCGACAAAGGAGGAAACCCCTGACTTTATATAATCTTATTTGTGTCCTTAAAGACATCGAATACTATTATTTTAATGAAGTTTTAGCAATTCATTATAATACGTTTTACAATATAGATTATATTATTTATATATCCGTTTACATTTCTTTATCTTAATGTTTATATATATATATATATGTATATACATATATGTATGTATAAATATATATAATATATACCCAATACATTAATACTTATATAAATTTCTTACGATATAAAATTTATATCTATTAAACAGCTTGTTTATTGAATAATCTTATAAAATAATTGGTTTCTATCCTTTAAATATTATTATGGAATATAAGAAATACAAGTCAATATTATAATTACTTGTAGGGCTCTCTCTTGTTATATATTTTGATCCTATAAGACTATTCTTTGTTGATAACATTTTATCTCGCCTCTCGTAATTGAATTTCTAACAGAATGTTAAACATCAAATATACGACATAGACAAAATGATTTAAATTTGAGAAATTAACAATGAAAATGTTGATAATTCATGGATGATATGTATTTTTTAAAGGTTCATGTCAGAATATTACATTTATTGACAAATGTGTATAAAAAGATATTGTTTGAGATACATAGAAAATGTTCTGAATCATTATAATAATACTATTGAATTTAAAATATTTTTAATTTTATATACAATTATTGAAAAAATCCTACATACGCAAATAAGAACATTTTTTTTAATGCAGTATAATGTAATTGTAACAAAATATTAACTTACTCAATATATTATTTACTTAATATCTAACTCATGAAGTAAATATTATAATCTAATGAAATTGAAACTATTTGATGAACCTTTCATTCGTAGTGGGTATATAAAAAAAATTGTTTTGATTCAATGCCACCTAATTTAAATGTGCATCCAGCCTTCCAATATTTGTCTGTTATGTCAATTAAGCGTCAAATTCGTATTGATAACAACAGCTAACAAGAGTTGGAACAATTTAACTATCAAATTTATTTACTGTAAATAAATTTGTAACGAATGTTTCAGTAAATTACTTCAGGTTTTTAATTTTTATTTTTATAAAATGTAATGTTTTAAAATATATTTTATTATAACAGTGGTGTCATCTTAATTTAACTAAATAATTGTTATGAAACATCGTCATTTATATTTTAAAATAAAAGTCCTTTTTAAAGTATTGTAACAGACCTAAATATCTTGTTCCTTATATATGTGACTTCATTTTAAGTAACTTTTTATCTATTAATAAACTAGCAGATTAGATTGTATTCTTCACAAAACCATTTCTTATTTATAAACGTTGCAGATCACTGTTCAATGTTTTGTTATTTATTTATATGAAAAAGGAGGGTCATGTTTCAGACCTATATCCATGTCAATAGAGTTATTTATTATTTACATACTTGTGAGCTAAAAATATTTATGCATATGATTTTTTCTTATTATTTATACCTACAAAAACCTATCACCTTATGCTACACGACATCGAAATGTTAATTATATCAAAAGTAAAAGTTTTTACTTAATTTTTTAAGTCCATATAGTTTTAATAATAGAGTTAAAAGCAACGAAGAAAAATAAGCAATACTAGTTCTGCTTTATCATGTTTCATAAGTAGTACAACGAACAATACATTCTTTATTATTAACAGTAAGCCTTAGGCCTCTGCCTCGAATTTTGCGGGCAGCGGACCGGCGGCGGCGGCGGCGCGGGCAACGCATACCTGTTCTCCAAACTAGCGGGTAGATCGCGCGGCACTATAGCGGTGTAGTGTTGTGTTCGTGGTTGTGTTGTCGAGATATTTGTTTTTATTCGCGAACGAAATGTCTGAAAAACGTTTTGACATTTTGATACATCACAAAAACAATTTACAACACTGTACCTACAATGCAGACGCGAAATGCGGGCGGTCACCGCTTAACTGGAGTGCACCCGTGCACCGCTCGTTGCCCGCCCCTGCCCTGCTACCCGCGAGATTCGAGGCAGAGGCCTTATAAGCAATAACGGGTATCTGATTTTAATAGATAGCGAAGTAAATGTACTACATATAAATCTTCATAGAACATGAACAATATAAAGTAATATTAGAACAGAAGCAGAAGCCAGGTCACAGGTGTGTGACGTCATGGAGCTGATGTCACAAATGTTATATATTAATTTCGTCACTGAATTATTTTCATATAAACCGTATAATCATTGTGTATTATAAAATAAAACAGAGAAATGATAGCAATACTGCAACCAAACAAGACCGTAAAATTATTTTATGTTTTTATAATTTATTAATTGAGTGTTAATTTTATGTAGAAAAATAAATTTTAAATCGTCTATTGGATTTGTAATGTTTATATTTGTCTAGTTAATGATAACTTAATATAATGTAGTACGATTCTACAAAGAATGGTTAACTTTTGTCGTATCTTTTTTACTTCTATTAATTATTTCGGGTGGAATTAACAAAATCTAATAATAAAATTGACAAACAATAAAACTCCAAAATAGACATATATCACTATTTGATCCTTTGTAATTTTCAAAAGACTAAAGGCTATTCCATTGAGCTTGTAAATTCTCTACTAGCTTACGATAAGCTCTTCAATATGAACACAAGCTATCTCAATCGTTTTGTCGAACTGACATTTGTACCGAGATTACTGCTAACGTTTTGAAGATTCTTTTAAAATGTATGACCATAAGGGATTTTTATATAAAACTTCGTCTTGCCGTTGACTTTTTTCTCGTCACTTTCAGCATTAAAAACGAGTAACTGCACGGAAAAATCTGTTCCGATTTAGAGGCAGCAGCTGGAGTTTGGATTTTATGAGATATTTTATTTATTATACAGGATGAAAAGTATCTTATGTCTGTCTTCTGTTTCAAGGCTAACTGCCCACTAATATTCTGTCAAATCCGTACATTCTTGAATTTAAATAGTGTAACTAACATGACTTTATCTTATGTACCGTAAAATTTGCATTTCAAAGTAAGTTTTCAAAAGATGTTTTGTTTGCATTTCAAAACAATGACATTACAATTTTGTCTCGCGAAGGCTTTTGGTATATAGAACGTAAGCTTTGTTTTGCAGATGAGAGTTTTACAATACGTGTGCATAAATGTTGATTTTAATTATTATTTTGAAAATTATTATTTCCAAGATATTAAAAGTTAGAAGTATTTAAAATTATT